TTTTTTTTTTTTTTTTTTTTTTTTTTTTACTTTATACAGTCTTTATGAATTTCTTAATACTCAAAATGACTTGGTTCTTTTCTTCTTTTTTTATATTGGAATGAGGAATAATAAGTTAAACCCACATAGACTCTTTAAAACTATAGGCTAGATAGAAATGTATGTTTGACTTGTTGAAGCTGTAATCAGACTATTTAAAATGTTTTGCTACTTTTAATCTTAAAAGATTGTGCTAATTTATTAGAGCAGAACCTGTTTGACTCTCCTCATAAGAAAGAATCTTTCCATTCAGATCACATGGGCTTTCCACCAATATCTTCAATAGATAAATCTGATTTATGCAATGGCATCATTTATTTTAAAATAGAAGAATTGTGAAACTGTATGCCCCTCCCTTGCAAAGATTATCATAAAGTCCAGATCTGGTAGGGGGGCAGCAACAAAAGGAAAATGTTGTTGATTTTTGGTTTTGGATTTTGTTTTGTTTTCAATGCTAGTGTTTAATCCTGTAGTACATATTTGCTTATTGCTATTTTAATATTTTATAAGACCTTCCTGTTAGGTATTAGAAAGTGATACATAGATATCTTTTCTTTGTGTAATTTCTATTTAAAAAAGAAAGAAGACTGTCAGAAGCTTTAAGTGCATATGGTACAGGATAAAGATATCAATTTAAATAATCAATCCCTATCTAGAACAATGCTTTTGTTTTTTAAAGAAACCTCTCACAGATAAGACAGAGGCCCAGGGGATTTTTGAAGCTGTCTTTATTCTGCCCCCATCCCAACCCAGTCATTATTTTAGTATCTTCCTCAGAATTTTATAGAGGGCTGACCAATCTGAAACTCTAGAATTAAAGGAACCTCATTGAAAACATATATTTCACGTGTTCCCTCTTTTTTTTTTTTGAGATGGAGTCTCATACTGTCCCCCAGGCTGGAGTGCAGTGGCACGATCTCGGCTCTCTGCAACCTCTGTCTCCTGAGTTCAAGCGATTCTCCTGTTTTAGCCTCTCGAGTAGCTGGGATTACAGGCACCCACCACCATGTCCAGCTAATTTTTTGTATTTTTAGTAGAGACGGGGTTTCACCATGTTGGCCAGGTTGGTCTTGAACTCCTGACCTTGTGATTTGCCCACCTCAGCCTCCCAAAGTGCTGGGATTACAGGCGTGAGCCACCACGCCCTGCCCATGTGTTCCCTCTTAACGTATGATTACATTGATCGTAAACATGGTCCTTCTCTCCTCATTCTTCAACTATCTTTGATAGGGGTCTTTCAAGGGGAAAAAAATCCAAGCTTTTTTAAAATTAAAAAAAAAAAAAGAGAGGACACAAAACCAAATGTTACTGCCCAACTGAAATATGAGTTAAGATGGAGATAGAGTTTCCCCTGAGAAACTCTGAGTTGAATTACCTGAGCTGAATTAGCTGTCACTTTCAAAAACATGACCTTCCACAATCCTTAGAATCTGCCTTTTTTTAAATATTACTGAGGCCTAAAAGTAAGCATTACTCATTTTATTTTGCCCAAAATGCACTGATGTAAAGTAGGAAAAATAAAAACAGAGCTCTAAAATCCCTTTCAAGCCACGCATTGACCCCACTCACCAACTCATAGCAAAGTCACTTCCGTTAATCCCTTAATCTGATTTTGTTTGGATATTTATCTTGTACCCGCTGCTAAACACACCACAGGAGGGACTCTGAAACCTCAAGCTGTCTACTTACATCTTTTATCTGTGTCTGTGTATCATGAAAATGTCTCTTCAAAATATCAAAACCTTTCAAATATCATGCAGCTTATATTCAGTTTACATAAAGGCCCCAAATACCATGTCAGATCTCTTTTTGGTAAAAGAGTTAATGAACTATGAGAATTGGGATTACATCATGTATTTTGCCTCATGTATTTTTTATCACACTTATAGGCCAAGTGTGATAAATAAACTTACAGACACTGAATTAATTTCCCCTGCTACTTTGAAACCAGAAAATAATGACTGGCCATTCATTATATCTGTCTTAGTTGAAAAGCATATTTTTTATTAAATTAATTCTGATTGTATTTGAAATTATTACTCAATTCACTTATGGCAGAGGAATATCAATCCTAATGACTTCTAAAAATGTAACTAATTGAATCATTATCTTACATTTACTGTTTAATAAGCATATTTTGAAAATGTATGGCTAGAGTGTCATAATAAAATGGTATATCTTTCTTTAGTAATTACATTAAAATTAGTCATGTTTGATTAATTAGTTCTTTTGGATAATGTTGGTGTAATGTGTCATTCCTTAAGAATTCTACTGTTATATAGCATTTTTATTAAGGTCATTGCAACAATTAAACATGAAAACATACCCAGAAAAATAAAACTAATCATACACAAAAATGAAGATATCTCATAGAATTTACAGATTCTATTTAAAAGTAAATATGTTTCAAAGGACTTGCAAAAGCTATGTAAGAGATGTATGAATTGTACAATATATGCATTAACAATAAAGCAGTTGTACATAAAATCCCCTCACTGTCACCCAACAGTGACTTATAATCCCTGACACAAAGTGGTTGGGAAAATATTCTCCTGCCAGAAGATTCAAACATATCAAATAAGGCACATAATATATAAATGGCATCTAATACATTCCCATACCAAGAGATTTATAAGAATGTGATCTCTCAGCATTGAGTTTTCATTTCAATAAATCGTTCCAATTTTTTACTGAATAGATACTGTGAATATCAAACTCACAACAGTATATATAGAAGTACAAGGTATAAAGATTGGTAATCTCCCTCTTGTTTAAAAGCATCTCATTTCATTTTTTAAAAATTCATTAACTATTTGGAAAGTTACCTAAATATAAAAAAAGTCTCGTAAGTTTTGTACTTAGTTTTAAGGAAATCATAGTAAAGTTTTCTCTAATATTTTCTCACGTGCCATTGGTGTCCCATCTCACATTCATTCCCACCTTTGCTCCCTTAAGATATCCAAGAATCTCTCTGGGACTGTCATTGTGTGGGCCCCTTCTTCCTCCAAATGTCTTGTTCATGCTCTTAGCATTTTGCCTCCTGTAGTCATGGTGTTCTGTATCACTTCTCTCCCCGCTCCACTCCAGACAATCCCTCTCTCCTTTCGTTCACACTAGGGTGATCTAGCCACAGCCTTTCACTAAAGATTTTGTAGACAATGCAAAGGGGGTGAGTTAAGCACAGGACAGAAAACGCCTTCCATTTCAACGGCAAACATCACTGTTACTATGAATCCAAGGAATTTCTGGCTGCTCATGTGCCTCCTGTGATCTTAGCAAGATCTTTCCCACTCTTCTGCAAACTCTCCCAGGAATCACTTTCTATCAAACCCTTTATCCCCTCCTTTGGAAAGAACTTATAAGAAAATTAGATTGTATTCTTATGCAGGACAATCTTCTACCATCACAGCTTTGCCGGTGGTAGGGGTGGGGGCAGGGCTGGCTCACCTTTTATTACTGAATATGTACAAGTGGTGTTCTTTCCTAAAGGAAAAACCAATTCCATCCCTAAGAGGAATTCTATCTTCCTTCCAGGTCATCTACATCAAATAACAGCCTCTTTTTTTAAAAAAAAAACTCTTTTTCTTCTGTAAGATCTTTATTGGAGATAATTACCACCACTCTAACAATAATGGTGGTTAATAGTTACTAAGCACTTACTGTGAGTCAGTCATTATGCCAAGTGATTTACCTATATTATCTCATTCATCCTTCCAACAAGCTTATGCATCAGGCACTATTGTAAACACTGCCTGATAAGGAAATGGAGGCTCAAAGACATTACTTAGTTTACTGAAGGTCACAGACCAGCAAAGAAGGCTTGAATCTGGGTCTGAGGACATTAAACCTGAGTCTGAAGACATTTGCTTTTACTACTCCACCACTTACACCCAATCCAGACATGAGGACAGCTCAGAATACTCACTGATAGTTTCTTGTTCAAAACTGGCTTTACACACTACAGACAGACACATGACTAATGGCACCTTCGAGTGATGACCTATTATTGAGTATGACATTATCAGGATAAAGAAGCATTTCTGCATGGTAACCAATGTATCTAATAATGTGTCATTCCCCACTGCCATTCTTCTACGTGTGTACGTCAGTTCTGGATAGTGCTTCACACTATGTAGGTAACACCCAGGGATATAGAGCCAATATTGGGATACCTCCATGAGGAAG